TTGGCCAAGTAATCCTTCAAAGGGCTCTCCGTGGTTTTCCAAATATCATAAAAACTCTTTGCACGGAAAAAGCGCAACAAAAAATACCTGCTTACAACTTTCCTAAATGAGAAACAAACACATAAGAGAGGGGTCATAACTAACTGTACCAATAACTTAGAAGGTCAAACAAATTATCAGCAAAACAGGTTACAGCTATAGTATTTCAAAATAATCACAGTGATGAATTTTTTATGTTCCTAAATTTTTTCGATTTTGGCTCTGGGATTTGTTTTTTTCTCTGATAGATAGTAAAAATCACTCATCATGAGATTACAGCAAATCAAATAAAAGTTTTTTTATTTGATTTTTTGGATCAAAGATAGCTAATTAGGTATTGAAAAAGTTTTTATTTTTGAGAGAGATGACTTATATCGCCTATAAATAATATCAGAGTAAAAGTGCATTTTTTATTATATCTGAAAGTACTTTGTTTTAATTTATTCCAGTAAATTAATTATTTCTTAAATCTTTTATTTTCGATATGCTCGCGCCCCCCAGGTAAGGCTATCACGCCCCCCAGGGGGGCGCGCCCCACAGTTTGAGAAACACTGCATTAAGTAGACAGCAGCATTTTGGAGGACACAACACAAAGACAAAAAGCAGCAAGTATTTTCAATCGTACATTATGGCGGCAAGCAGAGAAAGAGCGCGATTACATCTGCTTTTGGTGTTTATATACCAAGAGTGCACAAGCGCGTGACTATTACGTAATAGTGGTTCTGATTGGTTAGAATGCGCGGGATTTAGATTTAGGTTTAACCAATTACGATTAAGATTACAATGTTTTATTTTAAACCTAAGAATAAAAGATTATTTATAGATCATTAAAGAAGTTAATTTAAAAATATGTTGATATATGTTATATATATATATATATATATATATATATATATATATATATATATATATATATATATATATATATATATATATATATATATATATTTTTTTTTATATATATTTTATGAACTTTCCAGTTTCATTTTTGACTTCAAATAAACAAATAATATTCCAATAAAATTTTAAAAGTAAAATGGTTTTTAATTAATAAAAAAAAAATTAAATTATATTTTCAAATTCCAACATGTTTGTAATTTTAAAAAATTTGGGAAAATATATAGTAATTTAATTTATCTCAAAGTATATAAAAGTATTTTTTTTTTTGTTGACAAATGTTCGCATAATTTAATTTTAAAAAATTTATTTTCCTTAAAATTAAAAGAAAATTAATAAATTGGTTTGTAATTTTAAATAAAAAAAGGCAAAAAAAAAATGTTTTAAATTTGTTCATGGTTAACGTTTTTAAAAAAGGGAAAAATTAACCCAATTTAAAGTTTTTCCCAAAAACCTTTTGGGAAAAATATAGTTTTATAAATTTAAATAAACGTTAATAAAGTAAAATTTTCCCATTAAAATAATTGGAAATGTTTTCCCCAGATGTATTATGTTCAAAATATTTACGAAGTGATACTATTTTATTTTACGTTTTTTAAATTTCCCTCTTCCTTTCATATATTTTAATCAAGACAAAACAAACAAAAAAAAAAATTTAACATAAAATGACATTTAATTTCAGAAAAAACCTTTGGAAATTAGGAGATAATTATGATAACAAAAAAAAAAATAATAAATAAATAATATTTTAAGAAAAAATATTGTTGACTGGTAATTTCTAATTTTGGGAAATTTATAAGAAACTTTTTTATGGTAATGATTTTTATCTTTTTTTAGTGGAAATTTTTTTTGGAGAAATTTGAGTTTTATAGGACTTATTTTAAACCCTTTTTTGAAAGGTAAAATTTTTTTGTTTTTTCCCCCCATAAATAAATACGTAATTATTTTAAAAAAAACTAGTAATTAAATTTTTTTCTTTTTTAAGATATATATTGAATAATTTTAAAATAAATTATTTTTTTTTTATGAAAAAAATGTTTTTAAAAAGAAAATCTCTCCCCGGATTTTTTTCCCTTTTCCCCTTACAAAATTTAAAATAAAAAAAATTTTTTTAATATTCATAAATAAGAATTTTTGAATTTTTTTTTAAATTGAAATTCAAAACCCAAAACCCAAGCCTTAAAAAAAATTTAAATTAATGTAAGCAAAGTAATATTTAAACTTGAAATTTTAAAAAAAAGGAGATTCCCCAATAAAAAGTTTTTTTAATTTTTTTAAAAAAGTTTCGCAAAAAAACCCTTTTTTTTTTTTTTTCCCCCCCTTTTTTTTTAAAAAAAAAAAAAATTTTTTTTAAATTTTAAAAAAAAAAAAACAAAAAAAAAATTTAAATTTTAAAATTTTTTAAAAAAAAAAAAAAATTTTTTTTTTTTTTTTTTTATTTATATATATATTTTTTTTTTTTTATAAAAAATAAAATTTAAAAAAAAAAAGGGGCCAAAATTTAAAAAAAAAAAAAAATTAAACAAAAAAAATTTTTAAAAAAAAAAAAAAAAATTTTTTTTAAAAAATTTTTGGGAAAAAAAAATTTTTTTTAAAAAAAAAAAAAAAAATTTTTAAAAAAAAATTAAAATTTTTTTTAAAATTTAAAAAAAAAAAAAAAAAAAAAAAAAAAAAAAATTTAAAAAAAAATTTTAAAAAAAATTTTAAAAAAAAAAAATTTTTTAAAAAAAAAAAAAAAAAAAAAAATTAAAAAAATTTAAAAAAAAAAAAAATTTTTTTTTTTGGGCCAAAATGGGTTTTTTTTTTTTCCCCCTTTTTTAAAAAAAAAAAAAAAAAAAAAAAAAAAAAAAGAAAAAAAAAAAAAAGGGGAAAATTTAAAAAAAATTTTTTTAAAAAAAAAAATTTTAAAATTTTTTTAAAAAAAATTTTTAAAAAAATTTTAAAAAGGAAAAAAAAAATTTTTAAAGGGATTGGCCTTTTTTTTTTTTTTTTTTTTATAAAAGAAAAATTTTTTTTCCCCCGGGAAAAAATTTCCTTTCAATTTTAAAAAACCCCTTTTTTTCCTTTTTAAAAAAAAAATTTAAAAATTATTTAAAAAAAAAAAAAAAAACCTTTTTAATATTTAAAAAAAATTTTTTTAATTTTAAAACCCCAAAAAAATTAAAAAAAAAAAATTTTTTAAAAAATTTTTTTTTTTAAAAAAAAATTTTTTTTTTTTTGGAAAAAAAAATTCCCTTTTTTTAAAAAAGGGGGAAAAAAAAAAAATTTTTTCCCCAAAAAAAAATTTTTTTGAAAAATTTTTTTTCCAAAAAAAGGTTTCCTTTTTTCCCCTTTTTTCCCCCCCGGGAAAGGGGGAAAAAAATTTTTAAAAATTTTTTTTTTTTGGGGGGGGTTTTTTTTTTTAAATTTTTTTAAAAACCCCTTTTTTTTAATTTTTTAAAAAAAATTTTTTTCCCCTTTCCCCCCCCCCAAGGGGTTTTTTTTTGGGGGGGGGGTTTTTTCCCCCCCAAATTTGAAAGGGGGGGGGAAAAAAAAAAAAAATTTTTTTTCCCCCCGCCCGGGGGAAAAAACCCCCCCGGGCCCCTTTTCCCCAAAAAAATTTTTCCCCCCTTTTTTTTTGGGGGGGGTTTTTTTCCCCCCCTTTTTTAACCCCCTTTTTAAAAAAAAAAATTTTTTTTTTTTTGGGTTTTTTTTAAAAAAAAAGTTTTTTTTTCCCCCCCAAAAATTTTTTTTTTTTCCCAAAAATTTTTTTTTGGGGGAAAAAAAAATTTTTTAAAACCAAACTTTAAAAAAAAAAAATTTTTTAAAAAAAATTTTTTTAAAAAAAATAATTTTAAAAAAAATTTTTTAAAAAAAAAAACCCCCTTTTTTTTAAAAAAAATAAACCTTTTTTTAAAAAAAAAGGGGGTTTTTAAAAAAAAAAATTTAAAAAAAAAAAAAAATTTTTAAAAAAAAAAGGGGGTTTAAAAAAAATTTTAAAATTTTTAGATTTGGAAAAAAAATTTTTTAAAACCTTTGGGGTTTTTTTTTAAAAAAATTTAAACCCCCCCCCCAAAAAATTTTTTTTTTTTTTTAAAAAAATTTTTAAAAAAATTTTTTAAAAAAAGGGTTTTTTAAAAACCCTTTTTGGGGGGGTTTTTAAATTTTTTTTTAAAAAAATTTTCCCCAAAAATTTCCTTTTTGGGGTTTTTTAAAAAAAAAAAAAAAAAAAAAAAATTTTTTTTTTTTAAAAGAAAATTTTTTTTAAAAATTTTTTAAAAAAAAAAAAAAAAATTTTTTTAAAAATTTTTTTTAAAAAAAAAAAAAAAAAAACCATTTTTCCCTTTTTTTTATTAATTTTTTTTTTTTTTTTTTGGGGTTTTTTTTTTTTTCCAAAAAAAATTTTTTCCCCCTTTTTTCCAAAACCTTTAAAAAAAAACCCCCCTTTTTTAAATTTTTTTTAAAAATTTTTTTTTTTTTTTTTTTTTTTATTTTTTAAAATTTTCAAAAATTAAAGGGGGAAAAATTTTTAAAAATTTGGGGGCCCCTTTAAATTTAAAAATTTTAATTTGGGGTGAATAAAAAAAAGGCCAAATTTAAAAAAAAAAAAAAAAAAAAAGTTTTTAAAAAATTAAAAAAAAAAAGGGGGGGTTTTTTTTTTTTTGGGGGGGGTTGGGGGGAAAAAAAAATTTTTTTTTTGGGTTTTTAAAATTTTTTTAAAAAAAAATTTTTAAAAAAAAAAAAATTTTTTTTTTAAAAAAAAAAAATTTTAAAAACCCCCCCTTTAAAAAACCCCAAAAACCCCTTTAATTTTTCCCCTTTTTTCTTTTTCTTTTTTAAACCCCTTTTTAAAAAAATTTTGGGGCCCCTTTTTAGTTTTCCCCCAAAAAAAAAACCCAAAAAAAAAAAAAACCCCCCTTTTTTTTTTGGAACTTTTTTTCAAAATAAACAATAAGAAATGTATGAGAATTTTAGTATGGAAAATAGAAAGCGATTTTCCATTTTCCTTTCTGTATATGATGTTGGACTATTATTTGTGTTTGTTGCTATTTATTTATTCATAAATCACTTCTCAGAAATTTGGTTATCCCAAGTAGAATTTGAACCCACGACCTTTGGATTAGAATTCCAACACACTATCCATTGCGCTACAGGGACACATTGAGCAATTCTTCTATTATATACGTTGTTGGACTACTATTATTTTTGTTTATTACTATTTATTCGTTAATTAAGTTTGACTAATGAATTAATAGTTGGAAAAAGTGTATTAACATCAAGTGGCATCCACTACAAGTTTAAAAAAATGTATTTGAACTTGAGTGGATGAATAAAAAGTATTTTATTAAGGATCGAACATTTGAACAAGATATAATATATATATATATATATATATAAGAGTAGTGTGAACTAATAGAAATTGAAAAAGAAGTATGTATATACTACTGCTCTTATGTGTGTTTGTATGTAAGTAGATGTGAGGTAAAAAAAAGGTTCGCTTTAGTTTTGTTTGATGAGTAATCTAAAACATTGTAATTGTTAATCAATACTAAGTTCAGATTAAACAGTCTCCAAGGTGAATCTACTCGCCTACCTCATTAAACATTCTTAATGGAAATCACGGACACTTATCAAATCCGCACATAACGTCATCACTTCATCGAATACCCCGATTCATCGTCTATCCCGTATCTCTTTTCAGATCCCTTTCAATACTAATGCTTATTTGCATATACCACCGTTCCCTCATTTGGCGTAGTTTTCAACAGTCAAACTCATTAAAAAAACCAGTGATTAGTCAAAATGCAAAACACGTGAGAACCAGCTGCAGATGTTGATGTTGCAATCGGTTAGCTGACAAAATAAACAATAAGAAATGTATGAGAATTTTAGTATGTAATTGTAGGCAAAATAAGAAATACGCGTATTATAAATATAAAATAAATATGTCCGTGCATGCATTTCATGTACAGCCATGCCTTTTTGTATGGGTAAGTTATTTACATATTTTAAAATAATAAATTCTTTTATTTTAAATATTTATATTCGCTGATAAATCGAATAATTTATAAATTATTCTTTTAATTTCATTTCTATTTTATTACTATTTAAAGAGAAATTGTGAGTTATTTTTCTCTTGCAAGATATTATTGTTTAAGACCTAAATAATGTTATTGAAAATAGTTTCAAATGTTTGAAATTGTCGAAATCGCACATACCAAAATTACACATTCCGCAACATTTAATTGGATTTAGTCGTAAGCGCTTTCACCAAATTCTCCTGATCTTCATGATGATATAGTACCTATTTATCTCATCTAATTTGAAGACTTTGTGTATCTTTGAGAAATAGCTGATTTTTTCGAATGGGGTGGTTTGAAGAACTTCTATTATATTTTTGTTATATATTTTTGCTCCATTACGGTTCCCATTACCAGATGTGTGTTTGTTTTTTTTAAATTTCATATATAGTAGCTTAAGAAACTTTTGATTATTTTAGCTACATTATGGCTAAAACTGTCATTTGTATAGTTTATTAGTATTACTTTAAGTACACCATATAAATATTCTTGGTAGATAAGTTACAAAATTCGTCATAAGCCATTGTTTAAACTTACAACCAAAATTAAATTATAATTTTCATCGCACCCCTCCCTCCCCCGTACATTAACAATGCTATACCTTAACGCTAGAGCTATAATACGACTTTAAACTCATAAGTGCCCCGGCGTATATAAATGTCTCCCTCGGCCAATGCGTTACATGACCCGAACGTATATATACGTTTTTCGAATTACGATTGACACTGTTAACAGTAACATTATTTTGAAGGTTTTGGAATGCAATATAATGACATTATCAGTGTTTACGAAAATTTATTTGGGAGAGAGAGAGAGAGAATTTACTTATTTATTTATCTCCTCCCAAATACACACATACACGCGCCTATATGAAAACGGTGGCAATGGAAAGTGAATCGTGTAACTTTTAATTAGACGTTAAGCGATTAATTATTAATTATAAATTAAATTATTTTAAAATTTTTAATTTTAAATTTTATATATGCAACCCCAGGGGGTCCCAATAATTATCGAATTTGTTCCAAATTTTAATCTTGAAAAATTAATTATAAAAATGCGTTATGCGGTACTGATACATTTAAAATGTTTTATATCGGTAAATTGGTTTTTTTTGATCTCAGAATGTATTTTGTTTACTTTGTTTTTTTAAATAATCTTTTTTTTCGATTTTTAAAAAGCTCCGCCCCTCGTAAGGTATCACTTTCACCAAAGGGGGGGTCCTAATTTAGTAACGCCGTCATCCCGATTGGTGGCTATAAAGAAAAGTAAAAAAATATATAAATCTTTTTGTTACTTTATAATTGTCCCAGTAATTGTTTAAAAAATAGATTTTCGGGAGCCCTTTTTTACAACTCATATTTTTCCTTTGCAGTTTGCATTTTCAATATGATTTATGTTTGCATCTCAAAAAAAAAAATTAATAATAGAGGATTTGTTGAGTAAACTTGATTTTGGGTTTTTTAATTATATATATATATATATATATATATATATATATTAATGTGTATTTTTACAATACTTTCAAAAAATATAAAAATTTTTAAATGAAAACTTGTGTGCAAAACGAAACTTGTACCTGTTGCTCAATTTTTTAAAATTTTTTTCTTTTATATGGTCTGAAAACTAGTAAAAAACGAAAAAAAAATTTGTTAAAAAAAGGGAAGAAGATTGTCCAGAGGGTAATTTTAGTAAAAACCCAATGAACCCCTAGGGAATAATTTGTCTTTTGTTCATCCCCCTTGGGGGTCTTTATTCCCCTTTGGGGAACATTTTTCTTAAATCACAGACAGGACAACATTCGCTTTCCTGGGAAATGGTGAAGAGAGAAGGTGGACTCTTCAGCAAATTGCCAAAGGGAAAAAAAAAAATAAGATATAAGACTCGTGTAAGGCCCTATAAATGCCATATTTAATGGATTTGATTCGGATCTGTAGTTTTTGAATGAAAACTCTACTAAAAAAAACCCATTTTCGACTTTTTTTTTGACAAAAATACTGTTGTAGAAAATAAAAGTAGTAGTTAATAGAAAGCTAAAGCTTTTGAAAAAAAATAAGTTTAAATTTGAAATTTAAAAAGAAATTTGGGATAGTTGGATAATTTAATAATTACATATATGACTGTTTACTTTTTTTCAAAAAATTGTGTTAAATTCCCCCCGTTCAACTGAAGATACAATAGGTTATTTTACAAGGCTAAAAAATTTTTGGCGGTTTTTTGACGTTATTTTTCCGGGTGACTGACTCGTCGGAAGCATATACCTAAAATCCGGCTTAGCCCCCCTTTTTTAACACAAAATAAGATCAAAATTTGGGTGGTGTTAAACGCCGGTATAAAATATAGCCAAAAATAAAAAAAAAAAAAAAAAAAGTGAAAAAAAGGGCCCACAATGGTGGAATACTCTTTTTGGAATGTCCCCTTTTGCTAAACCCCGCATCAATCGGCGGGTGTTTTAAAAAAAAGAAAATCCCCAGGATTCTAAAAGAATGCAGACCATTTTTCAGCGAATTTTAGGTCATTGAACCTTCGCCCGTCCCCTTTTCTCCCCTTGAAAAAAAGATTAAAAATCTGGGGGGGGAGAACTCCCAAAAATTGAGATTTTTACGTCTCTCTAATTTTTGGAAAAAAGATTAAAAAAATTCTTTCTACTTTTCTACTTCATTATCTCATTAAAATTTAAAAGGGATATTTATTACTGTTTTTTTTATACGGTTATGAAAAAATATAAAATTATGTGTTTTAAAGTTTTTATGTTTAGTTTAAATTTATGTTAGTCTCCCTTTTTCAATAAAATTTATAATTTGTATAATACAAAAAAAAATCTTGACTTTGAAAAATGTACATAATGACTTAATTTTATTTTCATAATTAAATACACATGTTAAAAGTTTGGGTGCTCTTACACCCCCCATCGCGGTAGCAAAAAAAGGGCGGGTCGCGGGGTTAAGGGTTGTTTTTTTGAAATAATTTTTTTTTTCAAAATCGGGTAATACCCAATTAATGGAAAAAAAAAGGGGTTGCTAACTTCATTGTAGCCCTTCGTAAAAAAAAGGGGTGCTCGCGTTTTAGAAAAGACAAAAAAATAAAAAAAAAAAAAGCTGAAAAAATAGGTGCCGGGTTTTCCATTTATTTCGAATATTTTTTTTGGGAAATTTAAATTTCGTTGAATTAGAACACCATACAAAATTAATTTATAAATCATTATTTGTTATTTGGCAATTTTTGGCAAAAAAATTATGAAAAATTTCATAATTTGCATTTTCTTTTTTTAATAAATGATCTGTAAAATAAAAATTTTGCTTATATATAAATTTTTCTTTACAGAGCCTGAACTAAGATTTTTTAATATATATAGTTAAAGGGGTCATTTTTTTATATTTTAAATATAAAAGGGGATAACTTTTTTCAAATTCAATTTATCGTTATTAAAAAATAAATGAATTTTCAAAATTTTAGTTTAATTTTGGGGAAATCAACTTTTTATAGGCAAAAAACGTTTTTTTCAAGCATTTCTGAAACGAGAATATTTCGAAAAAAATGTCACCATTTTTTTTCCAAAAATTAACCAAAAAAAATTTTTATTATAAAATTTTTTATTAAAACCGTTCTATAGGTATATTCAACAGGGGACACAAAATATCAAAAAAATTTATTGATTTATGTTTTTTATAATCATGCTTCTAAACGTAGTCAGTCACTTTAAATTAAAAAAATTGAAACTTCTAAAATGAAAAAAAAACGTATTTAATTTTAATTTTTTGTTTTGATCTAAACATAATTTATTTTGTAAACATTATTTCAAATTTAGAAAACAAAAAGATTAAATCGGTTCATGCAGTTCATTACAAAGTGGTAAAAAAATGATTTATTTTTTTTTCAAATTAAAAAAAAAACGTATATGGAGATTTTTTTTCTTTTCAGCAAAATAATGGTACAGAACAAAATTCCATCTAATATATGGAATTAATTAAATCTTTCTATATAAATACTAACCGATTATAGGAAATTAGCAAAAATGGAAAAAAACAATGAAAATTAAATTAACGAGTACCAAAAAATATACTAACTTTATCATTTACA